TCTTCTCTCCCCAGCACACAGGTCTCTCGGTGGAGATGATTCCTGGAGAGTCAGAACTAGGCTTAGAGCTAGACTACTTAGGTTCAAATACCTAAACTGGTACATTGGAGTCAGTTGTATGTTTGTAACTATTCAGAGGCTCGGGATTTTTGTTTGGTACTGGGGCTTGAACTCAGGATCTCTGTATTCTTTGCTTGGCTTTTTCCCTCTCGAGGCTGGTCCTCTACCACTTGAGCCCACACCTCTACTTCCAGAGCCTCAGTTTCCTTATTTGTAAAATGGAATGATTCAGATTAGATACAAATAACTTGAAACAGTGCCTGATGAATGAATGAATGAGTGAATGAATGAGCTGAGGCTTTTTCGTTGTTGGTGGTGGTGGTAGATATGGAGTGGAAGATGTTTTCCACTATGTTTTACTTCAGAAACTGTCCTTTCACCTCTCTGTTTTTTTAAATTTATTTTTTGCCAATCCTGGGACTTGTACTCAGGGCCTGGGCACTGTCCCTGAGCTTCTCTGTGTTCAAGGCTAGCACTCTAACACTTGAGCCACAGCGCCACTTACAGCTTTTTCTGTTTATGTGGTACTGAGGAATCGAACCCAGGGCTTCATGCATGCTAGGGCAAGCACTCTACCACTAAGCCACATTCCAAGCCCTCATCTCTCTATGTTATCTGCCTACCCTTGTCCCTTTCAGACTTCACATTTTGGTCTTTGAAGACATGCTGGCCTGAAAGTTTTGATCCTCTTGCCTAAGCTTCTGGAGTGTTGGGCTTACACGCATGTGCCACCACACCCAGCCTGCTCAAACTTTCCTTAATTTTTTTTTTGTCTTTTTTTTTTTTTTTTTTTGGTACTGGGGATCAAACTCAGGATGTTGCATTTGCTAGGTCAGCCCTCAAGCTTTTTTTTTTTTTTTTTGGTCGGTCGTGGGGTTTGACCTCTGGGTCTGGGCGCTGTCCCTCAGCTCTTCAGCTCAAGGCTAGCCTTCTATCACTTAAGACACAGCGCCACCTCTGGTTTTCTGGTAGTTAACTGGAGATAAATTTCTTGGACTTTTCTGCCTGGGCTGACTGAACCATTATCTCCAGATCTCAGCCTCCTGAGTAGCTAGGATTACAGGTGTGAGCCAGCACCCAGCTCAAACTTTTTTTTTCTTTTGTTTTTGCTGGCCCTGGGACTTGAACTCAGGACCTATGTTCTGTCCCTGAGCCTCTTTGTGCTTAACGCCAGCACTCTACCAAAGTTTGAGCCACAGCACCACTGCTGGCTTTTTCTGAGTAGTTTATTGGAGATAAGAGTCTCACAAAGCCGAGCGGCAGTGGCTCATGCCTGTAATCCTAGCTACTCACAAGGCTGAGAGCTGCAGATTGTGGTTCAAAGCCAGCCCAGGCAAGAAAGGCCAAAAAACTCTTATCTCCAATAAACCACTCAGAAAACTGGAAGTGGTGCTGTGGCTCAAGTGGTAGAGCTCTGGCCTAGAGCTGAAGAGCTGAGGGACAGCGCCCAGACCCAGAGTTCAAGCCCCATGAACACCACCAACAACAACAACAAAAAAGAGTCTCACAGACTTTTCTTCCCAGGCTGTATTGGAACTGTGATTTTCAGCTTCCTGAGTAGCTAGGATTACAGGCATGATCTACTGGCACCAGGCTTCAAACTTTTCTTTATTAGCATATATTAGTTGTACAAGAGGTATTTCACAGTACTTCTATACATGTATATGATGTGTCCCCATCAAACTCACCCTTTCCATCTCTCTACTTTATCCTTCTTTAAAAAAATTTAGGGGGGGTGGAAGAGGAGGGGGGGGGTGGGAGATGGGAAGGGATGGGAAGGGGAAACAAAGGAGGAGGCAACAATGCTTGATAAGAGATGTACTCATTATCTCGCCCATGTAATTGTAACCCCTCTGTATGGTATTTTCTCAATTAAAAAATAAAATAAAAATAAATAAATAGGTTAAAAAAAATTCAGGGGCTGGGAAGGTGGCTCAGTGGTAGAATGGTTGCCTTGCATGCATGAAGCCCTGGGTTCGATTACTCAGCACTGTATAAGCAGAAAAAGCTGGAAGTGGCACCATGGCTCAAGTGGTAGAGCGTTAGCCTTGAGCTAAAAAGCACAGGGACAGCGTCCAGGCCCAGAGCTCAGCCCCACAACCGACAAGAAAAAAAAATTTTTTTTTTTCAACAGATGTCATAGCTTATTTTCTTTCTTTTTTTCTTTTTTTTTTTTTTTGGGGGGGTGGGTCCGGTCGTGGGGCCTGAACTCTGGGCCTGGGCCCTGTCCCTTAGCTCTTCAGCTCAAGGCTAGCGCTCTACCACTTGAGCCACAGTACCACTTCCGGCTTTTTTCTTTTTGCTTATATGGTGCTGAGGAATCGAACCCAGGGCCTCAGGCTTGCAAGGCAAGCGCTCTATCACTGAGCCACCTTCCCAGCCCCTCATAGCTTATTTTCATACATGCATATAAAATAGTTCGATCATATTCCCCTCATTCTCCCTGTCTATTGGCCCTCACACTGATACCCGTCCCCTAAAACCACTCAGATTTTAAAAGTAAATTAATGCAAGGTATCTGCTTGCCCTAATAAATACTATTAGGACAGTGTGCCTTTTAATTTTTTTTCCTTTGGTGGTACTGGGATTTGAACTCAGGACTTTACACTTGCTTGGCTGGTACTCTAGTGCTGAGTCATGCTTCCAACCCTTCTTTTTATTGGTAACTTCTATAATAGGGTCTTCCTTCGTGCATGTGCCTGGGGTACAATCTGTCCACTTTATGCTCCACTTCCTATTGGGATAACAAGTGGGAACCACTTTACACAGCTTCTGTCCACTGAACTAGAACTCTCAAGGACTTTTCTGCCTAAGCTGGCCCGAGACCACAATCTTCCCCATATCAGCTTTCCAGGTAGCTGTCATCCCAGCTATGAGTTGAGAGGGGTCTTGTGAACTTTTCTGCCTGGACTAGTCTCCCAGGTGTGATTCCCTGTACTCCTCATGCCAGCCTCTCAAGTAGCTAAGATTGCAGGTGTGAACTAGCAGCACTAGGTCTATGTGTCTTTTTCTCCTGCTTGACCAATCTCCATTATCTTTCAAACTGTAGGTAAGAAGCTACTTCTAGAAAATCTCTAGTCCTCAGAGAATTCTTTCTCACCTAGAGGTCCCCTGTACCTCCCTCAATCACAACTTTGATCGCTCAGACTTCTGTATCTGGACCTGTCTTCCAACACATGAGTAAGGCTAGGATCTGACCCATTCATGTAATATTAATTTAGCAAGTACTGTACTTGTTCAGCAGACACTAGGTGCCAGGCTTGGGTCCGGGGAAGTGGATTGATACATAAAATAACACAATAAATAAGACTTATCTTTATGTCTCAGTATGTCTACCCCAGAAGAATAGATAGAGGCTACGAGAAAATAACCAGGATGTTTAGGAGAGACTGAGACTCCCACTTGGTCCCAGAGAAAAGGGTGATTAGAAAAGCTGTTGAACTCTGAAGTTAATTTGGAGCAAGAAGCTGGAAAGACATAACCTTACATGACCTTGGCTGTGGTTGTGTATTTGAGAGTCCAGATACACCCAGCTGAAGTTATCAGCAGGCCTCTGTGTTGGGAGAGGAACAGAGGCCACAGATCTGCAAGATGATCTGCAGGAAGGGTGCCAGGCTGGACGTGGGCTCTTGCAGACATCTCTAATTTCCTTTCTTCTTCTGTACCTTCTATGTTCCATTTAGATCTTGTGGTGTCTTTAGTTGTTGTTGTTGTTTGTTTTGAAGCTTGAACTCTGGACCTGGGCACTTGGCCCTCAGCAATTCAGTTCAAGGCTAGCACTCTACCACTTGAGCCACAGTGCCACTTCAGTTTTCTGGTGTTTTATTGGAGTCTCATGGTGCTTTATTGGAGTCTCGTGAGCCACTGTTGCCCAGCTGACTTTTTTTTTTTTTTCATTAAAATTTTAATTTTTTGCTGGGCGCTGGTGGCTCACACCTGTAACCCTAGCTACTCAGGAGGCTGAGATCTGAGGATCATGTTTCAAAGCCAGCCCAGGCAGGAAAGTACAGTGAGACTGTTATCTCCAATAAACCACCAGAAAACCGAAAGTGGCACTGTGGCTCACGTGGTAGAGCACTAGCCTTGAGCTGAAGAGCTGAAGAACAGTGCCCAGGCTGAGTTCAAGCCCCATGACTGGAAAAAAAGAAGAAAGGAAGAAAAGAAAGGAAGGAAGGAAGGAAGGGAAGGAAAGGAAAGAAAAGAAGCAACAACAGCGCGGGGCACTGGTGGCTCAGGAGGCTGAGCTCTGGGATTGAGATTGGAAGCCAGCTGGGGCAGAAAAGTCTATGAGACTCTTATTTCCAATTAATCAGCTAAAAGCCCCAAATAAAGCTTTGGCTCTAGTGGTAGAGTGCCAAGCTAGAGCAAAAAAGCTCAGGCACAGTGCCCAGGCCCAGAGTTCAACTCCCATACCAACAAAATGAATAGTTAATACATGAATGAATAGTAGGTGCTCTGGGTTGGGAAAGCCCACGGTCTGATAAGGTTCCCTAAATCCCGGCACTGCCTCCGAACTCCGTCTTCATATTTCATGATTTTGCCACCTTCCACCCCCACATTGGTAGAAAATGGAAGCGTCCTCTTCTAGCCAGGTGCGGACCAGCCACCACCAACACCCCTCCCCGAGATCCAGGAATGAACTGCTCCACTCGCTCTTCCACGTGAATGGGGCACACCCCTCCACACACTAGGTGGGCCCGCCCGCAGTGTTCTCGCGCCAGCCAGTGGTTTTGTTCGTTTGCTTGCTTTTCCCAAACGCAAAGCGCTAAGATCGTTCCCCACCTCCTTTTGGTTTGTTTTTTTTTCAGGTCCCTCGTCCCTCCCCAGGACGCCAGTGATGGTTTCTCCCCTCTCCCCCCCCCGCCATGGTGTTAAATGGTCTCGCCCGCCCCTCCCCCAGGGCCCGGGTGCGCTTGTGAGTAGCTGGACGAGTCCACTGTGAGGCCGCCGCGGGGGGGGGGGGGGGAAGAAAGCGTTACGTTCCCGATTTCACCTCCTTCCTAAGTGAAGATTTCCGCCCCGGGGGAGGAGGTAGCGCCCTGCCGAGTCCCGGCCTCCGTCCTCGGCGGGAGTGCGCGCGTCCGGGTCGTCCATTGTTGCTCCGAGAGGTTAAGGAGTGGGCGTGGCGGAGCCACCTCCTCCCGGGAGCACACCGGGGTCCACCCCACTCGCTCGTCTGGAACCCCAACATGAGCGGAGAGGAGAATCCGGCCAGCAAGCCCACGCCGGTGCAGGACGTGCAGGGCGACGGACGCTGGATGTCCCTGGTGAGCGAACAGTCCCGGGGATCGATCGCGGTACCCGGGAATCCGGTGCTTGGGGGAGGGGGAAGCTGAGGACACTTGGGGTGTCACATTCCCCGAGGGAGCAGGGTGGGTTGGGCGGGGCCTGAGGTTGTGCATGCCCATGACACCCCCACCACACACCCCCCCACCACACCCTCCGTGTCTTCCCCGGGGCAGCACCATCGGTTCGTGGCGGACAGCAAAGACAAGGAACCCGAAGTCGTGTTCATCGGGGACTCTTTGGTCCAGCTAATGCATCAATGCGAGGTGAGGCCCTGCCCCTTCCCTCCTGCTCCTTCTCGGCCTGGTGTCCTTATGGACACATCTGGCCCAGAACCCAGGCCAGGCAGGGTAAGAGGTATGATGAGTAACTGGGGAGGCATACAGCCAGGTATGAAGAATGCAGTGCCTGTGTTTTGTTTGTTTTTGTGCTATTACTGGGGTTTGCACTCGGAGCCTGGGCGCTGTTCCTGAGATTTATTTCATTTTATTTTGCTCAAGGCTAGCGGTCTACCATTTGAGTCACAGCTTCACTTCTGGCTTTTTTGGTGCTTCATTGGAGATGAGAGTCTTACAGACTTTCTCCTTCCTGAGGCTGGCTTGGAACCTCCATCTTTGATCCTCATATCTCAGCCTCTTGAGTAGTTAGGATGACAGGCCTGAGCCACCAGTGCTGGAGAATCTGTTTTAAGTGCTCCTCAGCTGAGAAAGTGTATGCTCTGAGTTTGGCAGGTTGGGTTTGTGTGTACCAAGTCATGAGGTTTTTCTTGCAAGATTCACTAAGGGGAGGCTCTTTGTTTGCTTAAACTAGAGCCTTCATCTTTACAGGAGGCTTTGGTTGAACTTTAATGGTTATCCAGGAAGGGGTGGGGGTGCAGATAAATCATAAATGTCTTTCCACCTAAGGAGGTTCAGCCAAAGTTTGCTCAAGGTGAGATTCAACCAGACTGTTTTCATAAAGTTCTTCTGTAGTGGTATTTGGTTAATTACTAGACAGAGGGTGATAGGTTGGTGCTGATGATGCACCTGTGTCCACACGATTTTGTCCCCACAGATCTGGCGAGAACTCTTCTCTCCTCTGCACGCGCTTAACTTTGGCATTGGTGGTGACAGCACCCAGCATGTTCTGTGGCGGCTGGAGAATGGGGAACTGGAACACATACGGCCCAAGGTGAGCAGGAGAGGATTGGGTTTTTTTTTTGGGGGGGGGGATTGAGGGAGGGATGGGGGAGTCCTAAAGTATGTTTAATCTTTCTCAAAAGCACCTTTGGCCTTCCTGGCTAATGTTGCTTTGTGTACCTCCTTCCACAGATCGTGGTGGTCTGGGTGGGCACCAACAACCACGGGCACACAGCAGAGCAGGTGACCGGGGGCATCAAGGCCATTGTGCAACTGGTGAACCAGCGGCAGCCCCAGGCGCGGGTCGTGGTACTGGTGAGAAAGGCTGGGAGGGATAGTGAAAACTTAGATGCAGCCCACAGCTGACAGGGTTCTAGACCAGCCTGGTCAAAATGAGATGCTATCTCAAAAACAGACTAAAACCAAAAGGACTGGAGGTGTGCCTCACAAGGTCTTCAGCCCCCAGTACTGAAGAGAAGGAAGGAGTGAATAGATGAATGGACTCAGGGCCTTGAACTCAAGGCAGGGATGGGGAGGGTGTCTGTTGTTGGGCTTGAACTCAGGGCCTGGGCACTACCCTGAGCCTCTTTGGGCTCAAGGCTAAGCACTCTACCACTTGAGCCACAGCACCACTTCCGGCTTTTTTCTTTTTGCTTATGTGGTGCTGAGGAATCGAACCTCTACCACTGAGCCACCTTCCCAGCCCCCACTTCTGGTTTTTGAGTGATTAATTGGAGATAAGAGTTTTGTTGTTTTTTGGTTGGTTGTGGGGCTTGAACTCTGGGCTTGGACGCTGTCCCTCAGCTCTTCAGCTCCAGGCTAGTGCTCTACCACTTGAGGGACAGCGCCACTTCTGGTTTTCTGGTGGTTCATGGACTTTCCTGCCTGGGCTGGCTTTGAACCATGATCCTCAGATCTCAGCCTCCTGAATGGCTAGGATTACAGGTGTGAGCCACCAGTGCCTAGCAAGGCTGGCATTACCACTTGAGCCACACTCCACATCCCACCTTTTGCTGTGTACTAGGAGATAGGAGTCTCACAGACTTTCTGCTCTTGCTGGCTTTCAAAGCCCAGCCTTCAGATCTCAACCTCCTGAGTAGGACTACAGGTGTGAGCCACTAGCAACTAGTAGATGTCAACATGTTTTCTGAATGGTGCTTGGAAAGAGGTTGGCACTCATAAGATTCTTGCTCAGTGGAAGCTGGTATATTAGCAGGAGCTATCTCTAGAACAGGCAGCTGGGAAGTTCATGGTGTTAAGTGGCCAGTTTGACAGAGAAAGATGTAGAGCCAGATGCTGATAGGCTATCTTAAGATGGATGTTCTTCCTCAGGGCCTGCTTCCAAGGGGCCAGCACCCCAACCCCCTTCGAGAGAAAAACCGCCAGGTGAATGAGCTAGTTCGAGCAGCACTGGCTGGCCACCCACGGGCCCATTTTCTGGATGCTGACCCTGGCTTTGTGCACTCGGATGGCACCATAAGCCACCATGACATGTATGATTACCTACATCTCAGTCGCCTGGGATACACACCTGTCTGCCGGGCCCTGCACTCCCTGCTTCTGCGCCTGTTGGCCCAAGATCAGGGCCAAGGGGTCCCTCTGCCTGAGCCCACTCCCTAGGCTCCCTGCCTCCCCACATTAAAACTTGGCCTTCCTTAGTCTGTTTTCTGCTTCATGACTGAGCCGTCCTGTGTATGACCAACAGATCCACCCTTGGTTTTTTCCCTAGTCTTGGGGCTTGAAATTAGGCCCTAAGTGCTGTCCTTGAGCTTCTTTATAGCTCAAGGCTAATGCTGTACCAAATTGGGCCACAGTACCACTTCTGGAACTGAGTAGTTTACTGGAAAGAGGAGTCTTGACGGACTTTCCTGCCTAGCCTGGATTCAAACTATGATCCCTCAGATCTCAGCCTCCTGAGTAGCTAGGGTTACAGGCGTGAGCCACCAGCATCTGGCTAACTTCTAGCTTTTTCGGTAGTTCACTGGGGATGAGAAACTCATGGACTTTCTTGCCAGGGCTAGCTTTGAACCTTGATCCTCAGTTCTCAGCCTCCGGAGTAGCTAGGATTATGGGCATGATATACCAGCACCCAACCAAGCCTTTTTTTTTTTGGTGCCAGTCCTGGGGCATGAACTCCAAGCCTGGGTACTGTCCCTGAGCTGTTCTGCTCAAGGGTTTCACTCTACCACTTTGAGCCACAGCTCCATTTCCAGTCTTTTGGTGGTTAATTACAGATAAGACTCTCATGGGCTTTCCTGTCTGGGCTGACTTGGAACCATGATCCTCACATATCAGCCTCCTGAGCCACAAGCACCTGGTTCACACTATTTCTGCCTGAGGCAGAAGTCACTCATCAAAGCACACTGGCTTTTGTAGCCAGGTGAATTCCTGCTGTCATGTTGAATGCCTTGAGCAGATGCTGCCCAGTGAACACACTGGATGGAACCAATTTGCCAGCTTTATCCTGTGAGGTTCCAGGCCAAGCCAACCCGGCAGACCCTCATCTACACATTCCCTAGATGTGACTTCCCGGTGCTCTGGCCCTTGCTCAGATGCCACTTCCAGATCCTCCTCAGTAATAGTGGTGCACCAGGGGTGCAGGTTCAAGTCCTGTGTAATTTTGGCTGGCGATGCAATAAGTAGTTTCATTTCCGGCTGCTGCGCTGGCTAAGGCCACACGGGGGCAGCAGGTGTCAGTGGCCCAGTGCTCTGGGAAGACTAGTTTCAAGACTGCCTTTGAATGGTCTGTTTCTGGAGTAAAACCTGATTCCAGGACCAGTACGGATGGACAGCCCCCATCATAGACCTCTCCCACGCTCACAGGCCAGACGGCTGAGAAGGGCAGAGTGGGCATCGTGATGTCCAGACTACAGACAGGCTCCCACCTGTCCAGGGTCTCTGATGCTGGGGTGCTCTTGGAATTGCTCCCCCACCTTCTGGGAGAGTCCACTGCTCCATAGACATGTGGGGACAACACCTCCCACTGCAGAGCAAGCCAGCAGCCACCCAGTGTGTTAAACAGCTTTAATCTCGGTCATTGCTTCTTCTCGGCACAGTAAGAAATATTGCACATGATCAACATGTTTTGTTCTGGGGACGGGGACAGGGTGGGGAATCACCTTCTTAGAAAGTACAACCCAAGTTGGGAGGGCAGAGGGGGTAAGGAAGAATCCTCCCCGTGCCTGTGGCAAAAGTACAGGAGCCCCGACCCCAAACTAACCTGAGTCCAGCCCCTCTGGGGGAACAAGGGGTGCATGAACTCCCCCCTACTCCACAGGCACCTCCCTGGGGCCCGAGGCCCACCCTGCCCTCCAGCTTGCAGCCCTCACACGAGCCATTTTGCATAAAGTACAGGTGAAAAGCTCTGAAGGTCACACACTCCAGGTTATGTACAGGGGCCCAGTGGAGGCTGTGCCCCTGCCTTCCCTCAGCTGTCTCCCCATCACGGGGAGGAACCTGGGGAGGCGGGAGTATATACAAGGGGAGCAGGCTTCATGCCGCCCACCTGGACTGGAAAGGACGACATGGCTTTAGAGGAGAGGGGGGCAACCATCCCATCCCCCCACTCCTGCCACCTCCACTGTCCATGTCCTGAGGGGGTACTATGGGTCCAGGATCTCCCCCAGGGACCCTTCACCTGCCGGTGGCAGTTGTGGAGGGGCCAGAGGGAGGGGGAGAGGGCTGGGGGGGGCCCTCCCAGCCAGGCTGTCCAGGCCCTGGCTCTGGGGGTGGAGGCAGTGGCGGGGCAGCCTGGGCAGTGCCAGAGTCCGGGCCAGGGGAGGTGGGGTCAGGGCCGCCAGCAGGGCTGGGAGTGGGAGCAGGGGTAGCAGCAGTGCCAGCTGGAGGTGGTCCAGGGAGGGGGGCTTCAGCTCCAGGGGGCTGCTCTGTGGGGGTGGCTGCCTGCATGATCTTCTGGCGCACTTCACGGATCTTCAGCTGCAGACAAACCTTGGATGGGAAGATGTCGGCATAGCGGGCCTGGAAGGCTGCCGTGGCCTGAGCTGGGAACAAAAACACAGTAGGAACCAAGTGGGGATGAGTGCTTGTAATACTAGCATTTGGGAGGCTGAGGCAAGAGGATCATGAGCCTGAGGCCAGCCTGGGGCTACAGAGCATTCCAGGCTCATAGCAAGACCCTGTCTCAAACCAACCAAACCAAAAGCACAGGTGCTGGGGAAGACAGGTGAGATGTGCTGCTGAGGACCTTACCTGATGGGAAGAAGCCATGGTCCTGGAAGAGCTGCATGACCAGGGCGCGGCGCTGGTCCAGGGTGCGGCGCAGCGATGAGTAGGGAACCTTCTCATACTCCAGCTCCCCCAGCACGTCCTCAGCTTCGGTACCTGCTTGAGCGCAGGGAGGCCCAGGCTACAGTGGCAGGCTGCACCTCCCGGCCACGAGGCATGCCCAGCCCCAGTGCTGGTCTTCTGTGGCACGCAGGGGTCAGAGAGGGGCCTGCTGGCCTCCGGAAGCCTCCCGCCACTCCTCCAGGTCTGCGGCCCCGCGTACCTGTGCGGTCAAAGGTGAAGATGTCCCCCTCACACTTGGCACTCTTTGGGGTGTTGGGCTCGGAGCTGCAGCTGGAGCGCCTCCTCATCTTGCGCTTGGGTGAGGTGGGGTCCTCGGGCGCCGAGTCCAGGTCTGACCGACAGAAGCAGACTCAGCAGAAGTAGCCTCAAAGCTCACCACCACCCCCAGCCCCACCCACCCGGGGCCAGCACTACCGGTGGAGTTCTTCCTCTTCTTTCTGTAAGAGCCCAGGATGGCCCGGGGAGAGGTGGCCAGAGACTGCAGTGTGGGGGAGGGCAGCACCTCCTCCGGCCGAAACTCGGGAAGCTCAGCAAAGCGCTCCTCAAAGTCCACTTCAGACAGGACCCTGCTGGGGGGCCGGCAGGTTCACCTCCCCTGCCCGGCCTGGGCTGCTCGCTCCACCCCCAGCCCCGCCCACGAAGCCAGGCGCCAGCCCCTGCTCACTTGTCCACGGAGTCGAAGGTCTTCTTCAGGGGCGGGGGCCGCACCTTCACCTTCTTGCCAGCACCAGCCACCTCCTTGCGCTCTGGGGTGTCTCCAGCCCCCCTTCCACCGCTGCCCTCCAGACTGCCACCACTGCTACTGCCTGGGGCCGGGGCTGGGGCTGGGCTGGGAGGAGTGGGGGGCTCCCGGCTCTCCAGGCCCAGCCCAGGGACCCGCCAGTCAGAAGATGAGCTGGAGAATTTGCTGGGCTGGGATGAGGACAGAAAGGGAGAACACACCTGGCCTCAGATATGCCGGGGTAACCCTCCCCCCCCCCCCCAGACCCAGTCCATGGCCTCAGGAAGGCCAGGATGCAGAGCTGGGAGAGCAGCAGAGACAGACACACACGGGACACACAGGTGTGTGTGTTGGGGGGGGGGGGGGGGCGTAGCAGCACTTGTCCGCTCAGCACTCACCATGGTCTCGGGGCCCTTGGTTCCTGGCCGCTCCTCGGCTGGGAGGGGGAGAGGGGGGCTGCTCCGGGCACCGGGAGGCCAGGTCTCTGGGGGTGGCGGAGGGGCCGGTGGTGTGGGTTGCCCTTCGAGCTCAGACTCTGGGGCGGTTGGCTCCCGGGTGGGGCCAGGCTCCAGAGGCTGCCGGGGTGCAGGGCCAGACCGCCCGGAGGCACCTGCTTCAAAGGAGCCCACGGGAATGCTGGCGATGGCTGCCTTCACTTTCTGGGGGGCCTTCGGGCTGGGCCGCTGGGCCTTGGGGGCCACTAAACTGTAGGTCATGGAGCCTGCTGGTGGTGAGAAGGGTATTTGCTGAGCCATGCCTGACTCACACCCACTTTCTGGGTCCCCAACTCGGAAACCCTGCCCTGGATCAGCCGGACACCCACCTGTGGCACTAGGGAAAGGGCTAGTGGGGGCGGGGGTGGCAGTGGCAGGGGCTGGTGGGCCTTTGGGCAGAATGGTGGCAGCAGGTGGGGTGGTGCTGGTGGCCACGGTGTAGACCAGGCTTGGTGGGGCCTGGGCTGGCTGGGCCAGGGGTGCCGAGGTGGAGGCGGGGCTGCCAGGGTAAAACGCAGTTATCACGGGGCCTCCGGGGGCTGTGCAGGCAGGAGGCAGCTGGGGACTGGGCACAGGTGACACGCCCACCTGGCCAGGAGCCAGGAGAGGGGCTTGGCCTGCTGGGAGGAAGTCCAAGAATGAGAGAGAAGAAGAAGACTACGTCAGGGCCAGGACTACGTCAGCCGCACCCTGGGTCCCTGGCACTGCCTGCCATGCCACCTCTCACCTGAGAGCAGGGGCTGCACAAAGGCGGGGCCGCTGGGCCCCAGCGAGGTGAAGCCGAGTGCTACAGAGCTCGTGGGCCCGTATGAGGTGACGGTTCCAGCCTGGCTGGACGCAGGGCTGGTACCCAGAGGCAGAGTGTGCCCGCCTGCCGACTGCACGTAGGTGATCCTGCCACAGGGAGGAAGGAGGAGGAGTGACTGAAGCAGCCAGCCCAGCCTGCCTGTGCCCTGACTCTCTAGGCAGCACTAGCAGTTTACCTGGTAGAGGAAGGCAGCAAGACCTTCTGGGGCTGGGAGGTGGGTCCGGGAAGCGAGGCTGGGCTCAGGGGCGGCACCAGGCCGCCAGGTGTGCTCACGGGCACAGGCGTCAGCTGGATGATCTGTGGACAGAAACACCCACAGGCAGGAGGTGAGCCTAGAGGCAGGCGGGGCAAGAAGCTAAATAGAAGTGAGGGACTCAGAACAGGGAGACAATTCAGGATGGAAGATGACAGCAAAAGGTAGAGGATAAGCCGGGTGCCAGTGGCTTGTGCCTATAATCCTACTCAGGGGCCTGAGATCTGATGAATGTGGTTCGAAGCCAGCTGGGGCAAGAAAGTCTGTGAGACTCTTATCTCAGAAAAAGCTGGAAGTGGTGCTATGGCTCGAGTGATAGAGCACTAGCTCTGAGCAAAAGCAGCTCGGAGATAAGTGCCCAGGTCCTCTAGAGTTCAAGCCTAAAGACCAGGGGGAAAAAAAAGAGGTACAGACCATACTAAGGAACAGAGTGAAGAACTGACAGGAGGAACAGGGCAGGATGCTGACATCAACCAAGACACTAGACTTTGAGCCCCAGAAAGAAAGAGGCAGACAGACATGGGGTACAGGGGAGATAAGTAGGATGCTCTTACCTTGCTGGGTGGCTGGGCACCATTCTGCACAGGTACTGAGAAAGGTGGGCTCACCAGGGGCAGTGGCTGGCCAGGCCCCCCACCCCGTACTGACATGCTGGGGGCAGCCAGGGGCACCAGCACCTTCCCCGGCAGCAGCTGGGCTGAGCCACCTGGGGGCGGGGCCTGCACGGGAGAAACTGATTGGGCTGCAAGAGGCAAAAAAACAAAAGGTCACAAGAAAGCTCAGCAGGTTGGTGGCCACAAGGCTTGTGCTGCCCAGCTCAGGCCTCACCTTTAGGGGGTGGGGCGGAGGGTACAGACTGCAGGATGGGGATGCCAGGAGTGGGTGCAGTGGCAGCCAGGACCTTGCCGTTGGTGGAGGTGCCGGGTGGGAGGGTGAAACGGATGCTGGTGGTGGGTGCGGGGCCAGTGGGAGCTGCTGCCTTGGCCCCAGGAGCTGGTGGTCCTGGGGCAGGTGCCACCTGAAGCTGCTGGGGCAGCGTGGGCAGTATATACTGCACCTGGGTGATTCCCCCAGCCTTGCCCAGGGCCCCTGGCTGCAGGATGCCCAGGGGTACTGGCCCATTGGGGCCGCTTCCAGCACCTGCTCCTGAGCCTGCAGTGGGTCCACCGCCCGGGGCTCCCTGGGCAATAAACTGAACAGCAGGGGGTGCAGGGGCTCCATAGCCAGGGGTGCCCACCAGCAGGTTGGTGACAGTGGCAGGGGCTTTCCCCACAGTGCCCAACAGGGGCCCAGCCACCAAGTGTGGGGCAGGTGAGGTGGCAGCTGCTGACTTCTTGTCCGAATAGACTAAGCTGACCCCCAGCGGGGAGCCCCCGGGCACCCGGGAGCCAGTGCTCATCTCAGTTCTGGCACCTGCTGTGTCATTTGGAGATGCCTCGGTTCGGCCAGAGGAGGGGAAGGGCTTCGAGGCGATGGGAACCGGAGTGCTGCTGACGGGCCGAACCACATTGGTGACCATGGTGGCTGCAGGGCGGGACAGAGGCGCTGCCGAGGCCCCGTAAGACAGCGATGGGGCAGAAGCTGAGGGCACACGGGCTCCGCTGCCCTCTCGGTCCTCCTTGTTTTGGGGCAGGACCAGTGTTTGCAGAATGGTTCCTCCCCCGCTGGGAGGCACAGCAATCACAGAGGGGCCTGATGGCTCCAGGCTGCCCACACTTTCAGGTCTCTTGCGCCGGAAGGAGGCAGGGTCCGATGGTAGAAACCGTGTGGCCTTGGAAGGTGTGGCAGGGCCTCCAGGTCCAGGGGGTGGTGGCCGTAGGGGGCCTGTTGTGCTGCCCTGACCAGACTCCTGGGCCTTGAAGCTTCCAGAGCCCAGTGAAAAAGAGTTGGCTACAGAGGTTGAGGTGGTGGCAGGTGAGGAGGAAGAGGATGACGTGGGACCATAGCCTTTCCCAAAGGCTGCAGGTGGATCCGGGGGACCTGGTGGCTCGGGGTCCAGTGTGGGACGGCAGTGGGTAAAAGAGGAGCGGATCACAGGTGAGAACAACTTACGGCCAAAGCCCTGGGTTGAAGGAAGAAGAGACCCCATGGTCAGGGGAACTCAGGCTGCTGAACACCAATCCTCAGCCTATCAGGAGCACACCCTGTCAGCCTGAATAGGATCCAGCTCCACACAGGCCCCGCAGCTTGTGCTCTCGACCTTCGTCTTACCCTGCATCACACACACACACAGGTGCATTTCTCCCTTCCAGGTGTGTGCACCGTGTCCCAGCACCAAGCCTTACCTTGTTGCCCTCTGGGTCCTCCCCAGAACTGTCGCCGCTTTCACTGTCAGTCACCCGCTCCTTGCACTTGAGATCAATGTCAGTGGTGCCAAAGCCATCGTCAGCTGAAGAAGCAGAGGAAATAGCATGGACGAGGGGCTGAGGGCAGAGGTACCAAGGAGGGGATAATCTGGAACCTGGGCTCTGCCTGCATAGACAGTGAGTGTTGTCTAGGAGGCCAGTCCTGAGTCCAGGGCTATAAACATCTGCCCAGGTTTCCTGCTGGCTGGGATGAATCTTTTCTCAGCAAAGCCAGAATTGATGCCAGTCAGGAACAGGCCCCGAAGCCAGGGTCCCGTTCACCCACCCACTGACCTTCAGCCTGCTCACCAATGACATCATCGTCCCCTTCCTCCTCACAGATGACCATGCGTTCCTCATCACTGGTCATGTCCTCGCTGGCTGCACGCTGGGAACGAGAGGCTCGGGTGGGGAGCAGTGGGGGCCGCCCGCTGGCCGCCAAGGCGCCTCCTTCACCAGGGGCTGCGAAAGGGCCCGGAGTGCCATACTGGGTGGAAGGCTTTGGGCCTGAGTATGATGTGGGGCCAGACACCATCTGCAGAACAAGGAGGAGCAGGCAGGGTTCAGCGGTCTGCAGCCTCAGGCAACCCTCCCTGCCCATCCTTCCTCCTGGTGGCCCAGACCCCAAACCTGAGTGAGTTCCTGCAGCGCCTGGCTGTCTACCTCCCCGCCATCCAGGCTGTGCACACCACTGTGGGAGAAGGCCCGCGGCCGGGCCGAGCCAGGGCCCCCAACAGCATGCAGCCGTTCTGCTCCACATGGGCCACTCCCTGCAGCCTTGCTGTCTGAGCTCAAGAGTGTCTGGGCTGCAACTGACAGGAGCTCAGAGGACACTGCAAAGCAGAAGGAGAGGCTGTCAGAGCCAGCACTCTTCCTGCCAGCACCTGAACTGGCCAAATTACCCAGAGATGTTTCTAGGTACTGGGTAGAAGCAAGCCAGAACTCCTGGGCCACCTGGTGGGGAAAAAAAAATAAAAACAGAACAAAACAAAACCCACTAACCATCACCCTAGCATCTCCTTCTTGCTGGTTCCTGACCTCTAGGGCTATAGGAAAAGCAAGCCTACTCCCCAGGAACACATTTTCTAAGAGTGAGCAAGCCAGAGACAGGTCCATGTGGTGTGTGTCAGCTAGCTAACCACTAGCCTGGGCCTTGGTCCTTCCATCTCAGAGAGATGAAGAGCCATATCCATAGGATCATGCCAAAGAAGCACTCTAGACCACCACCAGGTACTCTAAAAGCAGCAGAGGTACCACCTGAGATGGGAAGCCAACTGATCTGAGGTTTCAGTTCTAGCTGTGCTGCTTTCTATCCTATGACTTGAAGCAAGTGACTCTTTCTGAGCCTCTTTCCTCAACTGGAAATGAGGTATGAGTTTCGACTCTAAGGGAATGTGAGTCTTATGGATTCCTGGTGTGTAGTAAATGCTCAGTAAGTGGTAGCTGATAATGAGATTGTTTCGGTATCTTATCTATCTGTGCCTCTCTGGTTTCTTGACACATTGCAACTGCCAGTTCCTTTTTGGAGGAGAGTCCTCAAAAACAGCAAAGCAGAGGAGCTGCCGGGCCAGGGGGTGAGCAAGCAAGAGGATAGCGGGCAGCTCTCAGGGAGAGGTGGAGGGTGGGGGAGCCAAGAGCTGACTAACCCCCAGGGGCGGCCGCAGTGCCCGTCTCCGACATGCTCCGCTCCCGCGTCTCCTTGTGCCCTCCTGCCAGCCCCAGGCTCGCGGGCTTGGCCTCTGAGCTGGACTTCTTTCGGTCCTTGTTGCACCACTTCCAATCTGGGTGGGCCTTGAAGTGGGCCTCCTTCACCTGGCAGGAAAGGGCAGGGCGACCCTTCACTCACCCACCCCAATGAGGACACTGGGAGGAGCCAAGGAGAGGAGGCATTACCTGGAAGGCTAGATCGTGGTACTTCTGTTTCTCCTTGGGCCCAAGGGCATACCACCACTCGCCCAGGATCTTGCTGACAGTCCGGTTATCCTGGTTTGGGTGACGCTGGTGGACCAGGGCCCGGTGCCGCTTGCTGAAGATCATGAAGGCATTCATGGGCCGACGGATATGGTCCTTCTCCCGCTGCAGTACACACAGCCCAGATTGGGACAGTCAGAACCACACAGACAAGCTTGGGTGACCACAATGGGAGCAGGGGGTCAGGAAGAGCAGGCACCTTGTTGGGGCTGCGTCCGTCTTTCTCAGAAGATGAGTCTCGTTCCTTAGGCAGAGCACTCAAGGACTGGGTCCGCCGTTTTCCAGGTGGCAGAGGCAACTGGATCTCGGGAGACATGATGGACAGGAAGCTATGGGACACAAGGAACAGTGGAGGCCATGATCTCTTGCGGCCGCCTTCCTTCCCCCGCAACCTGTCCCAGGCCCTGGAACACTCACGCATCATCATGGTCGCTCTCTGTTTCACTGTCCAGACGGGGTTCTCCCGGGGGGCCAGGGGTCTCCTCCTCAGTAGTAGGAAGGGGACCTTTACCAGGTTCCACCATCCCCAATGTGTGTGGGGGTCCAGGCCCTGGGCTCTCAGGGCATGTGGCCCCAGGGGGCCGCCCAGGGTCAGCATTTCCTGTGCCTCCTGGTGGCTGCTCATGAGCAACAGCTGCTGACTCAGCAGGTTCTAGAAGCAGATTGGGTCCATCAGAAGGCTCCAGGGACACCTTGATTGCCCCCATCCCCATCCTTCCCTACAGCCCCCAATTCCTCACCTTTGCTCTGGTTGGAGGCCACTGGGTGGCTGGCAGGTTGTTGGGCCTCACTGGGCTGCACAGAGGGGTCCGGCTGGCTGGGTGCCAGGAAGGGGACTAAGGAGTGCCAGGGGAACACGGCCACAGAGCGAGGTTCCACGTTTGTCCACACTATAGGGAGGATCCAGGTAAGGCAAGCAACAGGAGACCTTGGTCCTGACCCTAGATGAAGTGGCCCCACCCCCTTTATGCCTCATTGCCCCTCCCTAGACTCTTGGGCCCATCAGTGAGATCTTATTCAGGAAGAAGTCCTCCCTGAAAAGTCTCTAATTTTTTTTTTCGTCAGTCATGGGGCCTAAACTCTGGGCCTGGGCGCTGTCCCTCAGCTCTTCAGTTCAAGGCTAGCATTCTACCACTGGAGCCACAGCGCCACTTTCAGCTTTTTCTGCTTATGTGGTTCTGAGGAATCAAACCCAGGGCCTCATGCATGCAGCAAGGCAAGCACTCTACCACTGAGCCACCTTCCCAGCCATCTAGATTTATTTTTAAAAAGAAAGATGCTGGGGAGGCTTAGATCTGAGAATCATGGTTCAAATCCAGCCCTGGCAGGAAAATCCATGAGACTCTAATCTCCAATTAACCACCAAAAAAAACCCAGAAATGGTGTTGTGTCTTGAGCTAAAGAGTTCAGGGACAGGGTCAAAGCCTAGAGTTCAAGCCCCATGACCAACAAAAAAAAAAAAGACAGACACACAGACAGACAAAGATGTGGGGGTGGGGAGAGAGGACAGAAGCAGGGAAGGGAAATGGTACTCAGGTCCCATTCCTCCCTCCCAACCTCTACCAGCCCTGTCACCAGGGACCGAGCCAGAGAACTGGCTCCTGCCACAAACCAGGTCACACTCAGCTACCATGCCCCACACTGTCTACTGTCTGGGGACCCTCCCGCCCATCACAACATCCTCAGCAACCGTGCTACCTGCTGATACTGGCCTTAGTCCCTTTCACTTTCCTGCAAAAGCTGGTCCTATCACCCCTCTCCTCTAATTCTATCCATTGGTATGTGACCTCCTCCTTGCCTTCCCCCACAAAAAAACCCCAGGGACAGACAGGCAGTGCTCTGGTGGGAGGGGACGGGGACAGGAGGGGGGGGAACTGCTCATCTTCTCTTTGCCCCCTAAAAAAAACCCACCATCCGAGGCTCCCCTCCCTCAAATCCTCCGAATATCAATCTAGAGCCCAACACCCAGCCTCCTTGCCCAGAAAGAGGTGAGGGTGTGGTAAACTCCTAAGAAAAAGCACAGACAATGGGGCAGAGGAGAATTGTTCCAAATCTCAGCCCAGAGAAGGCAAAAAGTGCCAGGTGTTTCCTTGAAGCTCTGTACACTAAGACAATTCCCTCATGAGGGAGCTGTGGGGGACCTCGGATAGGTGGTAGGAGGGCAAGGCCAGGGCTGGGACCACCCCTGTTGGACCTCTGGGGCGGACCAAGGCAAGGGGTGGGCTTCCCCTCTCATGGGCAGCTCCCTTCCGGGGAAGTGGAACCAGCAGAGCAGCAGAGAGGCCCCAGCTCAGGGAAGAGGGAAGGAGGGAAACGCCCTAGCCCAGCTCTCCATCATTCCAGGACTCCCTTGATCCAAAGCAACCTGACCTAAGTTGACCCGCCCCCCCAAATCCCAAAAAGCCTCAGGAGCTTGCTCTCAGGGAGCTCTGGGGGAGGAAACTGGCATCAACACTGGACTCTCGGGGACTGACAAAGCCCTTAAGGAACCTGAGGACAAGCACCCAGAAGACAGTCCTGGAAGGCACTCAAGACTTTGTGACTACCCTGTCCCCTGCCCCTGGGGCCCCCCAAAGCATGATGGGCCCTCCAACACTGTCACAAGGACCTGGACCGTTTCCTATCTCCACAAAGGGTCCTCCTCATCGGGCCTCCCAATTTTCTGGGAAAGGGACGAAGACAAAGAGGAGTCCTCAGGTCCTGCCCCCTCCCAGGTGCACTACCGCCCAGGTGTCCCGGCCTCTCGGCAAACACTCCACAAACACTCTGGCCCACAGCCTGTCCTCAGGCCACTGCTCCACCAAAGCCCCTCCACGCCTCTCTCTCCCCACCCGGGCTCCAACCTAGAAGGCAGAACCAGTAACTCGGCGCCCCGCGCCTCCGATCCCAACCGACCTGTCCCATCCATCCTCTGCGCGCCACACCTGTCTCCAGGTGCTCCCGACTCCCCGCGCTCCGCCACGCGCCCCACGCCGTCTCTAACCACTCCGCCCCGCCGGGCGCCAACTTTCCCGTCGCCCCTTTACTCTCTGCGTGCTCGTAGTAGCGCCCCGGCGCCGCTACTCCGCACTTGAGCACCCGACACCCTGACCCCTCGAGTCCCGCGACGCGGGCGCTACTGACCGAACATGCCGAGGCCCCGGGAGGCCGCGCCGGACACGGGCATCAGGGGTCTGTGGGCCGAATACATGGTCCGGCGCAGGGGGTGCCCGGCGGGGGCTCGCGCCTCCTCAGCGGCCGACGCCACTCCGCCCACAGCTGGCTTCTGGGCCCTCGCCGCTCCGGCCCGGGGGGAGCGGGCGGCCGTCGCCGCATGCCCCCCCGGCCGCCCCCCGCCGGCCGCCCCCCGCGGGGGTCTCCGCCGGGCGCGCCTGCGCAGAGCGCCGCCCGCCTCCCTCCCGCCGCCCGGGGGGCGGGGGAGGTCAGCGCGCGCCGGCCCCGCCCCGCCCCCAGGCGCGCGCGGGGGCCGTCACGGGGCGCGCGGCCCGGGGGCCATCGGCGCCGCCCCCTCCCTCTCCCTCCTCCTTCGCGGAGTCCGGCGGGCGGGGCGGCTGGGGCGGGGCGCGGCGCGCGTGCGCGGGGGTGGCCCCCTCCCTTCCCTGCTCGCAGCCTGGCTCGCTCGCTCCCTCCCTCCCTCCCTCGAAGCTCCGGCGGGTAACGGCTCTCGCCCCGCGCGCCCCGGCTGCCGACGCTGCCGCCCCGCCTTTCCGGGCCCAAGGCCCGCGGCTCAGCGCCGGGTCGACCTCAGGCCCCGGGCGGGCAGACGGACCAGCGTGCGTGCGTCCGTGCGCTCCGAGCGAGCCCCGCGCCGAACCACCGCCGCCTCCCCGCCCCGCCACTACTACGCGCTCCCCTCCCCCCGCCCCTTCCCCGCTTCCCCCGCGGCCTTCCGCGCAAGCCCGGCCCCCCGCGCGCGAGCCTATTGGCTGCTGCCGCCGCGCGCGGGTCAGGCCCCGCCGCGCCCGCCCCCATTGGCCGCCCCGGGGGAACGTCAGTCATATGCAAATACAAGCAGGGCGGGGCGGACTTCGGTTGGCTCCGAGCCGGCCGGGGGCGGGCCTGCAGTGGGAGGGTGGCAAGGAGGGCGCACTGCAGCAAAGGCCGCGAGCCAGGGGGGCTGCTCGGGGCGCCGCGCTGCGGAGGCCCGAGTTGAGGGTAGTGCTGTGTCCCGAGCGCCGGGGGACGAGCTCGCCAGCGGCGCAGACCCACCTGGGCGCACCCGGGCCCCGCTGGATAGACCCATAGCGCAGAGTTGCGCGAACCACCGGAGCCCTTCCAGCGCTCACACGCACGCGCGCACACACGTCGTAGACATACTTTCGTGCCACACCCATTAGAGCTTACACACCGTTACTGGGGCCCCATACTGTCATACACGAAGTCACAGCCCACACCTGCTCACCATCACACACTCATCTTCACCTCACATGGCACATGCACTGTCACACGTCTTCCCAACAAACACTATCATTACACTTCAGCCCATATAAATCAAAGACAAGCTATCGGGAGGACCTCAGCACAACCACTGCTTGTCCACACTCACACTTTCCGCAGCCTTCCTAGGACTTGTACTGTACTCCGTCACCAACACACTTAACCCTCACTGACACCAGTATACTGACCCCCATACTCTTAATCTACCTGCAGGAGCAGTAGACTTCAGTACCCAGCTTCATCAGGAATACAACACTCTGGCTTTCTACCACTCTACCTACCAGTGTGGGAAGGAGACCACAGTCAGGCATGGTGACACTCCAGCAATCCCATATATACTGGAGGTGGAGATCAAAAGGACCACAGCTCCAGGCCAGCCCAGGCAAATAGACTCCATTAGAAAAATAAAGCAAAAAAGCTGGGGGGGGGGGGGGAAGGGGGGGAGGGCAGGGTCAAGTGATAGCCTTATAGCCATCAAAAGCAAAAACCCTTAGTTCAAACCCCAGTACAACAACAAAAATGGCTGTGGGGCTATATAACATCCCCACCTCCTACCTCTCCCCCCCCAAAAAAAAGGGCCAAAAAGAAGAAAGGAAATGGGCTGCTATGGTCTAGGAGATAATACGGGCTAGACGACAAACAAAATTGTTTATATTTATCTTGTCATCATATCCTCACTGCCACCTAGGAAGGTCCACTTTTATATGCCCATTGTTCAAGTGAGAAAATGAGGTTCAGAGACTGAATTAACTGTGCAGGCTCTTGCAAGCCAGGATTTTAACAGCCCAGGATTCTCAATTCAAGTGCTCTTCCCATGACTCAAAACTAGATCTCAAGGTGAACACAGCAGGAAATAGAACAAGATCAAATGGTGACAACAGCAAATGGTGACAACAGAAGCACAGAAAGGTGAGCAGGCATGTGTGGCAACACAGGAGGGTCTGGGGCCCACTAGGCAGAGGCAGAAGCCTTGGATCACCCAAGAGGACCCTGGGGCTTCTGCATAGGTTAGATCTTTGACAAGAGTAGTAGTAAACTTTGCTCAGCCTGTCCATCCAAACAGAGCTGAAGGCATGGAGAGGGGGCAAAACCAGGTAACCTGATCCCAAGGGGAAAGGAAGGTCTATAGTTCTCTGACCTCCAGAGATGGCAAGGCTAGACACTTGGCTAAGAGCCTGGAGGGGCTACCAGTGGGACTATTAGGTGACTGCCCCCTCCTCTATGCAGCCCTAGACTCAGACCCTCCATTACCTCACTGCCCCAGGGACTGCAATGTGAGGAAGAAATCAATGTGACCCACTATCTCCCCACCACTGCCCCCACCTCTCCCCACTCTCTCCCCACCGGTGAAGTGAGTCACCTACTGTTCAAGTTAACCCCTTCCCCACGGCAATGGAGCCCAGGGGCAGTGCTCAGAAGAGCCCTGTTCTGCCACTTCTGTTGGGTGAGAAAG